AAAACTTTCCTGGACTGGGTCTTTTTGAACTGGATGGCATGTGTCCATCAGCAGTTTACCATTAGCTGAAGAAGTATGATTCTTCGGTTGGGGGGTATAAATTCATTATTAAATAACATTAGTATCATCAAAAGGATATATTAAAACCGAATTTTAACGAGAAAACTTTCCTGGACTGGGTCCTTTTAAACTGGATGGCATGTGTCCATCAGCAGTTTACCATTAGCTGAAGAAGTATGATTCTTCAGTTGTGGGGTATAAATTCATTATTAAATAACATTATTATCATCAAAAGAATATATTAAAACCGAATTATAACGAGAAAAACTTTCCTGGACTGGGCCCTTCGAACTGGATGGCATGTGTCCATCAGCAGTTTACCATTAGCTGAAGAAGTATGATTCTTCGGTTGTGGGGTATAAATTCATTATTAAATAACATTATTATCATCAAAAGAATATATTAAAACCGAATTATAACGAGAAAATTTTCCTGGACTGGGTCCTTTTGAACTGGATGGCATGTGTCCATCAGCAGTTTACCATTAGCTGAAGAAGTATGATTCTTCGGTTGTGGGGTATAAATTCATTATTAAATAACATTATTATCATCAAAAGAATATATTAAAACCGAATTATAACGAGAAAACTTTCCCGGACTGGGTCCTTTGGAACTGGATGGCATGTGTCCATCAGCAGTTTAGCATTAGCTAAAGAAGTATGATTCTTGAGTTGGGGGGGTATAAATTCGTTATTAAATAACATTATTATCTTCAAAAGAATATATTAAAACCAAATTATAACGAGAAAACTTTCCTGGACTGGGTCCTTTTAAACTGGGTGGCATGTGTAAATCAGCAGTTTACCATTAGCTGAAGAAGTATGATTCTTGAGTTGGGGGTATAAATTCATTATTAAATAACATTATTATCATCAAAAGAATATATTAAAACCGAATTATAACGAGAAAACTTTCCTGGACTGGGTCTTTTTGAACTGGATGGCATGTGTCCATCAGCAGTTTACCATCAGCTGAAGAAGTATGATTCTTCGGTTGTGGGGTATAAATTCATTATTAAATAACATTATTATCATCAAAAGAATATATTAAAACCGAATTATAACGAGAAAAATTTCCTGGCCTGGCTCCTTTTGAACTGGATGGCATGTGTCCATCAGCAGTTTACCATTAGCTGAAGAAGTATGATTCTTCGGTTGTGGGGTATAAATTCATTATTAAATAACATTATTATCATCAAAATAATATATTAAAACCGAATTATAACGAGAAAACTTTCCTGGACTGGGTCCTTTTGAACTGGATGGCATGTGTCCATCAGCAGTTTACCATTAGCTGAAGAAGTATGATTCTTCGGTTGTGGGGTATAAATTCATTATTAAATAACATTATTATCATCAAAAGAATATATTAAAACCGAATTATAACGAGAAAAATTTCCTGGACTGGGTCCTTTTGATTTGGATGGCATGTGTCCCTCAGCAGTTTACCATTAGCTGAAGAAGTATGATTCTTCTGTTGTGGGGTATAAATTCATTATTAAATAACATTATTATCATCAAAAGAATATACTAAAACCGAATTATAACGAGAAAAATTTCCTGGACTGGGTCCTTTTGAACTGGATGGCATGTGTCCATCAGCAGTTTACCATTAGCTGAAGAAGTATGATTCTTCGGTTGTGGCTAGTATTCTTAGTAGTATCGTCCTTTAGTAATTATAAGATTTGCCATTTTTGGTTACGCAAGTTCCTCTTATTAATCAATAATTTATTCAGGGATTGGAACGAAAATAATTTATTTAAAAGTAGGTAAATAAAATGTTTGAGGTTCGAGAAACAAGAGGAATGATTCGGATTATGAAACGAACCTAAATCTGTTTAAATCGCTGGACAATATAATTTATGCTAGCTCATCTAATATATATTATATTAGTTTTATTAAGGCTACCTCTGGCTCAAAGACAAAAGTGAGCCGCTGTTAATTTAAATTTTAAATTCGAAGATGCTCCTTCTTTATGTAAATCCTACAAATTCTCTAGGATATATAAAAACCGAAAAAAGAATACCTACTTGAATGTCAGCGAAAGCATGCATTCGTCATCAAGAGCGGTATGGTCGGAAAATTGACAAGAAGTGACTGCTTAATAAAGTTTGTACTTATTAAATAATTGAGGCTAACTTTCTGCTAATGGATGGCGGACATACAATTCATTTGTCATGTTTCGCCACAATTACTATTTGTTTCCACTGTATTCATTGGCCTTAATTTTTGTCACTTAAGTAGATAATATCATAAATCAAAGGATAAACGTAGTTTGATAATAGTTAACGTTTTATGATATTTCTTTGAGTTTAAACCGCGATCTTTTTTTTTAATTGAAACAGTCATATTTTAACAACTCTGTAATAACGTAATATCTGGTCTTTAATTGTTCTTAATAAGCGTTAGACAGAAAATTTAAAAATCTTTTTATAAACCACTTATTACTAATAACTTTTATAAATTTTAAATCCAGTACTATATTTTCTTGTTAAAACATATATCTTTACCTTTCCATGAGACATACCAGTCCATCAATACATAAGTTAAGGACCGTTCTTTATTTTCCTTGTGCCCTCAATAATTTTTTTCAGCCTTATTTTCTTTAAGTTAACTGATCTATCATATTTTTTTCCATACTATATCATTAAAATCGACGATTTGGGTAAAACTGCTATTATTTACTAATTAAAATGTATAGAATAAGAAAATATATGGCATTGTGGGCTTACGAGTAAAATATTAGATGTAGGAGAAGTTTTAACGATCATAAAAAATTGCCTAAAAATAGGGGTTGAAAAAATCGACTTTCTAGTAGAACCAAAACATTTAATCCATCGGAGGCTTATATTTCCTAAAAGTGCATAAAATTTCCTACAAATCCTGAAATTTTTATAATTTTATCTCTATGATTACTATTTTTCTGAGCGTCTTGAAAATGGGTAAAAAATAACCAAAAATGGACAATTTTCAATTTTTCAAGTCGTGAAAAATATCGATTTTCGTCAAGCGACCGATTTTGGTAAAACTGTTGTTATTTACTATCTAAAAGGCATAGAATAAGAAAATATAGGTCATTGTTGGCTTACGGGTATGGTATTAGATATAGGAGTAATTTTAACTATAATAAAATATTGCTTAAAAACAAGGGTTGAAAAAATCGACTCCTTAATCAAATCAAAACGTTTAAGTTACTGGAGGCTTATATTTCTTAAAAGTGCATAAAATTTCCTACAAATACTGAAATTTTCATAATTTTATCTCTATAGTTACTATTTTTCTCAGCCCCTTTAAAAAATGGCCAAAAATTAGCATATTTTCGCCTTTTGTCATGAAAATTGACGATTTTGGTCAAGTCACGGATTTTGATAAAACGTCAGTTTTTGACTAATCAAAAGGTGTAGAATACGAAAAAGTAGGTTTTTTTGGTTTTGTGGATACTGTACTAGCTCTAGGCAAATTTTTATCCATCGTTAAAAATCGTTCAAGAGCAAGGGTTGAAAAAAACTTTTTTTTCAGAAAAACAAAGCACTTAATACTTTTAGTGGTTACATATTCTAAATCTATATGAAATTTTGTACGAATAGTGAGATTTTCATAATTTTATGACTACTGGTACTATTTTTCTGAGGGTTCTGAAAACTAGCAAAAAATATTCAAAAATTTTTGGCTAAAACTGCTGTCCTTAACTAATTAGAAGGTATATGGAATAAGCTAGCTAGTAGAGTAGAGTTATTTATGCTCTTCTTAAAATATGTCGTAAGTTTAATTAGAAGTTCCATAAATATGGAGGCAAATATCTCATATGGACTTGTTGGATTTCTATTCAGCACCATAACAATATCTCAGATATATTTCAAATTGCTTTTACACCTGCTAGGTTAAAGTCGCACCCTTGTAACTCATATTGCCAATGGACAAACTGGCATAGTTAACGTCTGCACAGCCTTGAGAGTTGCAATTTGCAAGTATTTATATTCAGCACAATTTATGTTATAGCTATGGATACTCGCATTTGTACCATTCCTTGCTAATTTAAGAACGTCCATAGTTCGTGTCGGGCCATCATCGTCTTTTTTTTGTCGCTAATAACAATTTGAAATACGACAATTCGTAATTGGGGATAAATAAATGCACAAGTGATGCACACCGGAGGATGACTTACAGTCTTTAGCTATAGCAATTTAGCAATTTAAATACAGTTGTTGACATTTTGAGGCAGACTAATTATTTGATTGGCGGCCAAGCGTATGCGGAACTTAAGTTTTTTTTCATTACCGAAATCAGCAGCTTAAAAATCTATAGACCTAAATACTATAGGCAAGTCGATTTAGACCTATTTGGGTCAATCGGTCACATTATGTGTAATACCTATTAAAAAAATGAAATATTTAATTACACTCATTGTGTATGGGGTCTCCTTTCTACAACATTGAAGGTACATTATTATTTACATTTTATTCTGTCATAACTAATTAATAGAGATACGACGAAAACACAATTTTAGGCTTTTTTCAGCTGTTATGAAAAATTTAGAATTTGCAGGAAATTAATTGTAAATTCAGAATATATAATCCTTTAGAAAGGCTCAAATAAATTGTTTTCCTCGGAAAATCGAATTTTTGAACCCTTCTTTTTGAGCTGAAACCCTTTTTGAGCTGAAACTTCGCCTTTTTGAGCTGAAACCTTTTTGAGCTGAAACTTCGCCTATGTAATACTTATACTCGTAAAGCTGCAAATTATCATTATTTCGTAATTTTGTAGTTTAATAAACAATTCTGTACAATAAAACATTAAAAGCAGAATTAATTTTAATAAAGTTTAATGTGAATCGTGCTTAATCGTTTAGAAATAGTCTATATAGGACTTTAGCGCATCAACATTTTTACTTTGTTCTGTGGTACCGATGTCCGTATGACAGATATGAAAAAATGGCTTGCGGTTTATTCAAGTTTTGTGAATTTTCCAATAATTTTATTTTTTTTTCCTAGGAAAGAGTGATAATGAAGTGGATTTTCTGGTTGTGTGTTGCAGAAGATTGTTTTCTGAATCTCATAAGCATGTAAGTACATTTATACATATTTATTTTTTGATTTTATCTGAAGGTAAAAGATCTAACAACTTTTTCTTTATGAAAGCCGTTTTTCAATGCTCTATGAAAAATAGTGAACATAATTGTAAAATTTTGAAGATAGCAGAATTTGTAGGAAATTTTTATGTATTTTTAGAATATATAGGTATTTAGTTGCTTAGATGCTTTGGTTTCGGTGAGAAAATTAATTTTTTGAACCCTTGTTTTTAAGTCATTTTTGACGATGGTTAAACGTCTCCAACATCCTTTAATGTTCTCATAAGACCATAATGGCCTATATTTTCTTATTTTAAGACTTTTAATTAGTAAATAACAGCAGTTTCAACAAAATTGGTGAGATGTTGAAAATCGCCAGTTTTATTGATCATATATAAAAACAATAATTATATATGCATAGAGATCTACAGTTTTGTTTTGATCTGTGGTACCGGTATCGGGATGACGGATATGGGAAAATGGCTTCCAGTTTATTCAATTTTTGTACATTTTCCATTAATTTTTTTTTTTTCTAGGAAAAAGTGATAGTGAAGTGCATTTCTTGGTTGTGTTTTGCAGAAGATTGTTTTCTGAATCTCTTTAAGCCTGTAAGTACATTTATACATATTTATTTTTTGATATTATCTTAAGTAAAAGGTCTAATAACTTTTTCTTTATGAATGCAGTGTTTCAATATTCTATGAAAAATACTGAACATAGTTGTAAAATTTTCAAGAAACCAGCATTGGTAGGAAATTTTATGCGCTTTTAGAATATATAGGGGTTTCGTGGCTTAGATGCTTTGGTTTCGCGAGAAAATTAATTTTTTGAACTCTTGTTTTCAAGTCATTTTTGACCATGATTACGTCTCCAACATCCTACTGTTCTCATAAAACCATAATGGTATTTTCTTATTTTACGACTTTTAATTTGTAAGTAACGATTATTTATTATATATGTAATATATATGGATTATAGGTATATATTAGTAAGAATATATGTATAGAGAAAAGTAGGTGACAGAAAAAAATAGTAAACATAGTCGTAAAATTATGAAAATTTCAGGATTTGTGGGAAATTTTATGTACATTTGGAATATGCAACTGTCAAAAAACTTGAGCGCTTTGGTTTCTTGAGAAAATGGATTTTTCCAATCCTTGTATTTAAACGATTTTTGGTGATGGTTATAATCTTGCCTACAGCCTACAGCTAGCACTGTATTCGAGTGAAGACCCCAAAAGCCTATATTTTCGTATTAATTAGTTAAAAACAGAGTTTTATCGAAATCCGTGGCCAAAATCGTCAATTTCCATGACTAAAATGTATGGAAAAAGGCCGAAAAGCTTTCTAATCCCAATTTTTTAAAGGACTTTAGATTTAGATATTTTACTGTGTGGTAGAAGACATACCTGATAGCGTAAGAATTCTAAAGCTCACCGTTCATATATATTTAAAGCTAATACAATAATCTTCAAAGGAACATCTGAATAAAGAATATATATATGACATTACCGACAGCCTAAAGAATAACCGGTAATATATTCTTCTTCTTCAAAATCGTTTTAATTGTTACGTAGAGAAAAAGTTCTATATATTATCTTTCAGAGATGACAAGATATAATAGTACCGCGTTTGGTGGTTTTAAATACCGAATCCTTATAACATTATTATCTTAGATAGATGTCATATTTATGGTTATATACATGCAGCGATTTCAAGAGGAGTTTAACTCTAAATCTGGGGAGGGGGGAGGCATTATTGCCTGTTTTTTACACTTTGTTAGATATTCTAGAAAAATTGTAGATGCAGTTCTAAAATTATGAAAATAACGAAATTTTATGTAGATTTTGAATGTGTAAACCCAGCTTGATACGACTCTGGTCTTACTATTAAGAAAAAAGCGAATTTATCTTAAAAAAGCCGTTATAACATATAAGTTACACGATATAATATTATATAGGTCGCGTATGTTCAGCCATGCTTGACAATTCAGTCTCATCCGTTGATTTATCAAGCCCCAGGAAAAATAAATGCTTTTACTTGTAAAATTTGTAAAATTGGCGTTGCCCAATTGATAGAAAATTATTGTTCATATTAAATTAAATGGTTAGCATGTCTCCGTGATGAATTAACTAGCTTAGCTGTTCGGGATGTTGAATTAAAATGCTTGTTTATGTAATCGAGTGGTTGGGAAACAATGAACGCCAAACTATCAGTGCGTGGCCGCAATAAAAATAAAAATAGTTTTATTTCTTTCACCTTCAACCTGGAAACGGGAGTAGTAAATTAAGCACTTTTCTCCAAATAGTTATAAAAAACCGTATATCTCGTAAACTAGCTTAAGTACTGGGATTTATTTTTGAAGTACCAAACGAGATTATTTATTTATCTTTATTTAATTACGAGTAAAACATTAGTTCTGGCTCAATTTTTCGAGTTAGTTAATTATTTAAGAGGATACCATATGTAACGAGTGTTATTAGTGGTGTCTCACTCATCTTTTAATAGACCAGTGGCATTTTTGCCAAAAAAAAACACACACAATAGCAGACGTTGACCTTGCTATTGCGTATTTCTATGTTTTGATGTTTATAAGGATAAGCTAGTGTTAAATAAGTTGATAAAATTAACGAACTCAACTAATTAAAATCAGGCATATACTTTCTTAGAAGCAGTGAAAAAAAAAATCGGTATCTCCTAATTTAAAATTGCTTTCCGTCTTATAAATTAAAAAAATATGAATAACTTATATTTTTAAAAAGTATAATAATAATAAACTTCTAAGTTGTTCTACGTCATAGCTACGCGATTGCAAGTTCAATGTTTGGTATTATACGTTTTTTTCCTGGCAGTAAGACAAAAGTTTTATTAAAAGATCTTTAACGACTTGTTTAAACCCAAAATCACTGTTACTTCCTTAAAATTATTTGTCAACCGTCTTTTAATACTGTGAATCTATGCAACAGTCTTTTTTGGAATTAAAGATAAAATATTAACGATTAATACCTTACGAAATATGAAAATCACGTTTTTAAATAGATATTATGCAAATAAGAATAGAGAAACACTATTAAAAATAATATTTTCCTTTTTAAGTAAAGTCTCCCATTAAAAATATTCTTAGGAGCTTGGTGAATATATCACGTAGATAATGTAATTATTAAGCATTAATGAAAAATCATATTATTATGGATGGGCATTGCGGACTTAATTGTATAATTTATAGCCTGTTGAATATTGAATAAAATATATATTTTTCCTATATCTAAGATTAATTAATAAAATATTCCTGCTGAGTTCAGGGTTCGAGTAATAGTTCGCTGATTTGAATAATAAAAATTTCAAACAGCTTGAAAAAGAACACGTACCTCTTGATCTTTTTTTGTGATGAAATGCTTTTAATTATGATAATTTAATATCGAAAAAGACCAAGACCGATTTTTACCATAACATATTGATAAGAAGCATAAATATTTCTCACGCTTTCTAATAACTGGTTCCCTTCTTTATCGATCCAGATATATATGTCACTTTAAAACATTTTTGATCCATCTTGGTTTAAATTTAAAGCCCCACATTACCTAACCCAGTCGTGTAATTATTATAAACATATAAGTATTTAAGATAAAATCCGTGTTCTCATTAAGAATTATCGCTGAATCAATCATTCGTGATTGTGATAATGTATCACGTTGCTTTCCAAAGGCAAGAAGACTAAGAAATTATAGAAAAATTAAAAGATAATGTGAAAATAAACACTAAAGTATTACAGTACAACCAGTAACTTGTTTATATATCCTTCTTCTCTTTATTAAAATATATATCATTTTGCCAGTCAGTCAAAAATACCTGCATAATTGACTCTTTCAATTTAATTGCTATAATTAGACATAAATAAGTTGTCCGAGACGTTAGTTCTGCTATCTGGGCGGAATTTCTAAATTATTGACAAAAATCTGCAATTTAAATAAAAAAGAATGGGTAATTTTGCATAAAACGTAGAATTGGGGCTCAGTGGTTAACTTTGCCGACTTTGCAAAAAAACAATAATATCGTATGTAATTTACATTAGATGATTTCGACTGAAGATCTCCAATGGTCACTAATCAAAGTTATTTTCTTGAATAGCCTTGAATGAACGAATGAGGAAGTTAAATAAGAATAAAACTCAAACAATATTCTTCTAGGTTAACGCATTAATATTATATTGGAACATTGTACAAGCTTGTCGAGTGCAAGATTGGCACTCTAAGTCAATATTTGTAAATTATTAATGTATCTAGATTAGGACAATACAGGCTTGAGATACAGGAAACTTTTCAATTTCAATTTCAATTTCAAGCTGAAAATGCGAACTGCGTTTAAGAAAAGCCATTTTATATTTTCAGAAAGAAATTGCTAGAGTAAAAGTTAAATACGCTCTTCAAGTGGCTTGTTATTAAAGATGAAAGTGCCGATAATATGATGGATGATAATATTTACAGTGCACAGAGAAATATTATTTTTTTCCGAATTTATCAGTGCTGTATATCGTGATGTCTATATTTAATCTTCATTTTTTGGCTGTTTATACAAAATGTTTTCCTTTGCAATTTTTTTCTAGCTAACAAGGCTTTTATTATTTCATCACGAAACGATTCACATGTTTTTTTTTTCTCTCCAAAAAAATCCTGTATGGGTATTTCGCCACTGCACTGCAAGAAAAATCTACAAAATCAAATAATTATTTTTTGTAAACACTTCTGCGTTAAACCTAAACGGACACTACTTGTCAGAAGTTATGTTTACAGTAATACAAATTTGCCTAACAAAGAAAAAAATGCTTAACGTTTCGGAAAGTATATCTCTTTCCGTCGTCGGAAGTAAAAAAAATACAAAGAATAAAGAAAAAAAACTATTTAAAATATTTAAATTCAAACTATTATTAGAACACTTTTTAGTTTTTTAAAGCAGATACGTCTACAAGAAACCGTTGACGTTCTGTTAAAATGACATTATATTAAGTTAAACTTCAAAATTAACACAATTACTACCTGATAACAATTACTTAGTAAGGTAAAACCAAAAAGCCCAAACTTTCTGTATGGTTATTTTTAAATTTTACGTATGTTATGTTTATTTATGTTATGTTCTTTAAAATTCTTAAAATGTTCTAAAAAAGCGATTGCCATACATTACTAACATCTACGGATACATGAGCAATACATTTATTTTTATTAGATTGAATTAAAAAAGCCTCTTCTATTTTTCTTTTAGGGGCTATCACTTCTTTCATTATAATCTTAGATTTGTGAAAATCTCCCTTTCTTAAATAATCTTTATGTTCTTTAATTCTAACATTTAAGGGTCTTGATGTTTTTTTTTTAGAATTTAGAATGAGTGGGAGGGGGGTTAATCACTTCGACCTTACAGATCCATTGTGTCCCCCTTTCTTGAATCATAACTCATCATACAGTCCCAGGGCTTTGACAAAAGCCAGTATCTGGGACGGTTTTATAGAGGGTAGTTCTCCATCTCCAATATCAGTCATACCAAAATTCATGGCACGAATGGTTGTCGTCTCGGCGCACTCAGTGATGAGGTGTACTGGTGTTTCCCCATCTTCCCC